TCAACAACAGAAAGTATACCCCTACGACAACGGTTAATAACCGTTGTCTATGTGCATTTTTCTTGTAGTGTGCATATTATTACCAATGTAAATTTATGCAAAAGAAAAATTCGAATGCGATAAAAATTGCCTGTGGGCTAAATTTTTACGCATAATAAATCTATCAAGGCTGAATAGTGGAAACAGAATGGGTACGATTTGGATTTGGTTTTTCCACCCTTAATGATAAAACTACCAAACTATATGCCGATTCATAATCCCTGTGGGCAAATTATGATCATAATTTAGTATTTAATCCTGATTCATCCTACAAATATAACAAAATTGTCTGTGGGCTAAATTTTGCAATATTACGCAAAATGAATTACAAAGGTATTGCCTATTCTTAATGTGATTTAAATTGAAGACAATTTATGCAATTAAAGATGCTGTGGCTACTCTTTAATTACAAAATTGTAATCACTTGGCAAAACGGGAATTTAAAGCCTAGCAAACAGATTAAACCAACACATGATAAACAATCATTAGGTATACTCCCAAGAAAGTTGGTCGAGATGAGACTCGGTTAAATACCAACTCCTTAGACAGAATAGCATCGCAAGGGGACTAGTAGCAACAAGGCTTTTAAGTTAGGGCCATAGAACTAATATTCCTCCCCAAAAAACTTCCCTAAGTCATGCATTTTCATATTTGAAGTGAAATCGTTTGGAAGATCTATAAGATTGGATACACCAATTGATAAGGCTTTAAATAGGGTAACTATGAATTTTTATGTACTTTATGTGCTTTAAGAACTTTAAGAAAGCACGAATGGAGTGATAAATGAAGAATAATATTGATATGCGCAACCAATTCCTTATAAGGCACTAAATTCACATAAAAGGCACTAAATCATGCATAAAAGGCATTTAAATCATACCTAAAAGGCTCTAAATTTATCCTTAAAAGAGCATGCATTTCTAAAGACATAATTATAATAGTAAAATAATTATGGCAATAAACATATAAGGCATGCTTAGATTATGCATATCAATTATTCATACTCCATAAATAAATTGTAACACTTAATACAATTTAAAACTGAAAATTCAATATTAAATTAATATTCAAACAAATTTAACACTTAATAATTTGTTCAAAAAAAATTGAATAATAATTTAATATTGACTTTAGGCAAAATCAATTGGATAACTTTAATTAAAAGAAGTCTAAATATGATGAAGAATAATACTTAAGCAAGCCCAAACCAAACGGGCCCTTTTTTTTTTTAATCCAGGTCTGTCCAAATTGGGCCAGACTCAGCCCAAATTTCTTCTTCATCTTCTTCTTTCTTCATCTGGCCCTACCAACAGCGAGACAGCAAGAAAAAAAAACAGCCAACCATTTTAATTTATATATATATATATATATATATATATATATATATATATATATATATATTTTTTTTTTTATTTTATTTTATTTTATTTTATTTTATTTTATTTTTTTTAATCTTTCGTCATCTTCCACAGTAGCCAGTATAACTCCAGGCAGTACTTACGTAAGAGTATATATATTACGCATAAAAAAATGCATAATAAAATACCCTTTATCCAATTGATTTAAACATAAAATAAAACATACTTAATGCGGAAAAAAATTTCAGCAGTCCAAACAATTGCATATAATTATTCATGTCAAAAAAAAAATATTCAACATATGCAATCAATATACTTAAGGCTAGGCAGATGTAAATCAGGCTCTTGATACCAACAGTAAGCAAATAAATTACGTAAGAACATAAATACGTGATAGGATCTTATTAAAGTACTAAGTACTAACCTCCAGCCATAGCTTCCAATTGATGATGATTGAGTAGTCACGGGACTGCTGCGGCAGAGTAACAGTATATGTTTCTCTCACTTTCTCAACCCTCTCTGGATGGTATATGAGGAATGAATGTTATGCAGTGAGAGGACTAGAGGGCTCTTTATATAATAACCATATGTCATCAATATGGTAACTGAATCCCTTCCTAATCATACTTCTTATCTTCACAATCAAGCATTACCTTAATTATTCTTCCAAAGGTTGAACCCCAATCCTGAGGGCCCCCCACACCCCGACCCGACAGAGCATTTGGGAGGATGTAAACCATGGTAACTCAACTGAACATGAACCACAGAGGCTAGACCTGTGATCACTGCGCACAAGGAACCCCCTCACTTTGAGAGGTTGCTCCCACACTGTCGGTGAGACTCAATCACATTACCTTAACTATTAGAAGTATGTATGGAAGAGTTGCACCACATAACAGATTACCTTTAATTATTATAAGGTTGACATAATATTATAATAATGTAATCTGGGAAAACTTTACACCAAATACTCCCTACTAAACTATTAAGTTAAGCCCGTGTGGACAATTATATATAATATCTATACATACACTTGGAAGAGCATAAAATCACATTGCAATAATATAGGAATATTATTATATATTGGGCGCCAGATCTGATACGCTGATGCTTCTAGTTTCGTTTTCTTTTTGCCACACCCACACCCACACATATCTAAGGTTCTAATAAAGTTCCTCCCTTAAGATTCGATGTTGACTATATTATTTTTACTTATTTTAAGAGTTAATACCATCTGAGATCCTCCGAGTATAGTGGTTTTGCCGCGTTTAGTCCTAAACTTTCAAATTGACCATTTGTGGTCCTTCGACTTTCAAATTTAACCATTCGTGGTCCAAGTTAACCACCCATGGCTCTTCAAGTTTCGAAATTTAACCAGTCGTGGTCCTCTTAAAAGGACTATCGTTGGTTAAAATTTAATAGTTGAAGGACCATGGGTGATTAACTTGGACCACAAATAGTTAAATTTGAAAGTCGAAGGACCACAAATGGTCAATTTGAAAGTTTAGGACTAAACGTGGCAAAACCACTATACTCGGAGGACCTCAGATGATATTAACTCCTTATTTTAATAATTAATCAAATATCATATAATTACATAAAATATCTAATGAAAAAATTAGAAATAATCAATACATAAGAAACAAAAATATATATAATTTTTAAAATTCGTAAGTGTACAAAAGATGAGCATAATGTAAGAAAACAATAAAATGAAATTAAAGATTATTAAAATCAAAATGAATTTGTAAATGTTTATTTTTAAAAAACCTATATAATTAAACCAATATATTAAAAATAAGTCTTATATAAGACCGTTCCATGTGATACAAATAACACCTCTTAGTTAAAATATATTACATTATTTTATAAATATATAGAAAACTATTATATTTTGGTTAAAAAATATTACGCGTTTAATATATATAAGACAAACTCATAAAAAACCTAATCATATATTAATATTGAACTATACAAAATAAAGAACACGTGGTACATAACATTTCACTATGCTAAGTAATTAACTTGACATTATTAAGAAGGGAGCTGTAAAGAATTTTAATTTTATTTTTAAAAGATTCCTACAAATTAAAATAAATTTAAATTTTGAAAAAGTAATAATTTATATTGACTGATAAATCAATAATGACAATCAAAATTTTAAAATCTCAATATACTCTTATTTATTTATTTATTTTTTAATAATTTCCATTTTTAATTTTTTTAAATGTTGATTTAAATAAAAAATTAACACTAATAAAATTTAAAACAAATAAAATTCTATAGAAATTTCAGCCCATTTAATCAAGTTTTGCACAATAACATCAAATTGATTACTTAGCATGATGAGATGAAAATGTATTAATTTCTTGTGAGGTTAAGACTTCAAAACTTCTTGGGAATATTCTGTATTATTCTGCATTATGATATGATGAGCATAGTAAACATGTCTCTATGTTGCACACAACTCATGCTTAATTAATATGCACATATCATAATATCTAATATGCACACGCGCATTTTAATTTCTATAATTAATCTCATCCATAGATATATTTTTAATGTACCATATTGGTTATATATATATATATATATATATATATATATATATATATATATATATATATATATATATATATATATATATAAAAGTTCTTATATGTGTGTGTGTGCGTGCGCGTGTGTGTGTGTGCACGAACCTTGTCCATGATATAATTATTGGACTAGCTCAACCCAGTTCAAATAATAACCAAATAAACAGAGGATCAATTGCCCAATTGACCCTACTCAAATGTATAGAAGAAAATTGGGTGTGATATAAGAATCCGTAAAATATCTTCTAAATAAAAATCTTGGTAAACATTTTCCACCAATATTTATTATTTTTCTTCCTACCAACATAAGTATTTTTTGTTAATAGCAAAACACTTAAAAATAAAAAAAAATAAAAATTAACTTCCCAAAATTGCTTTTCAGGTTTCTAAATGGACGTGAAGAGAAGCCTTTTCGTCTGGCATGCATGGATTGCGGCATGCTATACGTTTGGCCATTTTTGTTAAAATGCTTTAATTTGTATCACTAGCTATATAACATATATACACCTGTTGTTATACAGTGAACCATGGTCCACACATCACTGTGTGGACTATGATCATCGAATGATGAAACTTTAGACATAATTTTTACATTGTTGAGATTTGAACCTTGTTTTTTCTCCCAAATACAGTTTATACTGAACTAGTAAGCTAAGCATGTACGGGCAATTTCTTTCTCTTTTATTGTGGACAGTGGACATCATATCAAATTTTCTTTAGACTCCGTATTTGTTAACCATTTACAGATAGATATAGAGATTTTATGTAGCGCTTCATCTAAGCCATCTTCCCAAGTCCATTAGTATAAAAGATGTTTATAGTCTAACACTACTAGAGTGATTATTTCAATTCCCAATTGCTTTTTTTTTTTTTTTTTTTTTTTATCTGATATATAGTATTATTGGACTTGATTGGAAGAATTTGTATATAATTAAAATTAAAGAAATTAAAATATACTCCGTACAATATAATATAGTTTACACCAATATTAAATATATATAATTATTGAATCAGTAGTAAAAAGAAAACAGTACAGATTAAAGATACAATCATGCGGAATGAGACGTGTATGCATGGTACAGCTAGCTAGCTCTGCATGCTTACACCATGGTAAATGTACTATACGTACATATATTATATATAGCACTACAATATATGCCTATATATACTAGTAAGAAAAATTTTACAATGTCATGATTTTCAATAATGCCTATATTTTGTAAATTGTACTCTTCTATATATATATATAAATATATATAACTGAAACATAATAAGGTACAATTTTACAAAATATCTATGGAATATTGTAAAATTATGGATGTAATCTGATCTAGACCCAAATAGCATTGGCATCTATAAGCATCTTTTTGAGCTTACCCTTAACATTCAAGCTCATGATCTCATTAGAACCGCCGACAAAGTGTTTTCCAATGAACACCGCCGGAACGCCGCTGGGGTTGCACCCCATTTCTACCAATGCCTTCTCCATCTGGGCTCCCTCCGCGAGCTCATCTAGCTTGTACACACTCGGGTTTGCCCCGAAACCCCGAATTAGGGTTTCGATGCTGTGAGAAATGCAGCAACTGCTCTTGCTAAATATCACCACTGGACTTTCTGCTCCCAACTCCATCACCTTTTCCATCTTTACACGTACAATATATTTCTTTCTTTCTTTTTGAATTGTTTTCTTTTGATCGAAATGCTAATAATTAGTTGTTGGAAGCCTTAGCTTGGAGGTAGAAGAAATTGTATATGAAAAGGGTGGGCTTAACTGCTTAAGGTTTGGTGTTACAGAGTATATGAGGGCTTGCTGAAGCTATTTATAGGAAGGGGGGAATTGGAGATTGAAGGAATAATATATTCTTTTTTTTTACTTTTTGGGTGCTTAGATAATATATAATTGATGGTGAGGGGTTATCCAAATTATTCTTGATATAGTTGTTTTATCATTAAGGAATTATATATTATGTGTCCTCTTATCTACCTGGAATATAATCCCAAGTTGCAAGAATATTTTTGTACGTACTTTTAATTTTTTTTTTTTTTTTTTTATCAAAACTTTTAAGTTATATTTATCCCTATTTAGAAAATGAACTAAAATTCTAGAGCTCTTAGTCACTTGAGGTGATTTGATATGAAAGCATAGTTAGAAGTCAGTATATTATTTAGTAACGTTAGGTTCAACCTCTTTTTTAATACATGAGGTACACATGGAAATTTTGACATAATTAAACTGGCTATTGGACCGAATTTTAATTAAGTTATTCAAGTATGTATATCAATTAATTAAATTAATTTATGTTATGTTATTTGTCAAATTAATTTAATTATTTGAAAAGATTTAGTCATCAAATTAAATATTATTATTTAAGATATTATAGTTGTATTATATTTGAATTTAATATTTATAATTAAATTCAAATATAATAGAATATTGAACCTAGACATTATTATGGCAGTATTCATTTCAGATAAACTCTTAGTATTTATCCTAAATAATTATTTATTTATTGGATAAATATTTAGGGAGTTTGTTATGGGGTGGAAGTTACATTTTTCACTATAAATGGAGTCCTCATTTCATACCTTGAATCACACCTTGATGACATTAGCTTGAAGAGTCGAAGACACACCTTGAAGACATTGAAACTCTGCAGAGTGCTCTCATAACTTTAATTTTGAAGTTGTTATCTCTAGCTGAAGATCAAGCCGTTTGAAACACGGAGGCCCTTACGCCACTTGAATTCCGAAGGCCTTTAGTATAACATTTGAAGTGTTCAGTGAAGAATTAGAGGACACTACACAGAGATTTTTGTACTCATATTTTAAATTATACACACTGTAACCCGATTTTAATTTGTTATATATATATATATATATATATATATATATATATATATATATATATACAATTTCATCATTTTGTTTGTGTTTACAGCTTTTGGCATGCCTAGTGAGATAGCTCTGTCTTTCATCCATTCACTATCGATCTACTTCAACAAGCAACTATGCCAGCAATCCAAATAGCGTCAAGAAGCTCGGTGTTCAAGAAGTCCTATGCCCAAGTCGCTAGTTCCAAGTCTACATCGACACCTGCTTACAAAGCTAGCCAAGAGACCCAAGAACTAACCATTAACCAGGAGTCACGCAAGGAGCTTAGGAATTCAATCGCCTAAACCTGAGTCAATCGTTTGACGCATGATTCAAAGGCTCGAAACGGCCCATACTGTCCCGAGGAAGGCTACCTACGTTGCAAGTCCACCCTCTTCAAAAGGAGTAGCTAATAGCGAGAGACTGACTTCTTCCAAAGGAGCAGTTAATAGCGGGAGGCCAACTTCTTCGAAAAGAGCAGCTGATAGTGGGAAGCTGACTTCTTCGAAATGAGGAGCAGCTGATAGCGGGAGGCCAACTTCTTGAAAATGAGTAACTAGTAGCGGGAGGCCGACTTCTTTGAAAGAAGCAACCGGTAGTGGGATATATACCCAACTTCTTCGAGAGGAGCAATTGATAGTGGGATGCCAACTTCTTTCGAAAGGAGTAACCGGTAGCCGGAGGTCATCTTATTCCAAAGGAGCGAACTTCTTCGAAAGAAGTAGCTGATAGCGGGATGCCAATTTCCTCGAAAGGAAATGCTGACGAAGGATGTTTACAAAAAAATGAATTATTGTTACTACTTTTTAGGTCACTAATGATCGTTTTTGTGTCAGGAACAATTATCACAAAAATATTGACAGCGTATTTGTCACTAAAATACTGAAATTAGTGACGCCAATTTCCTCGAAAGGAAATGCAAGCAGTGGAGGCTCGTCCCCACCATCTCCGACTTCTAACATGTGGAAGGCCGTGCCGGAATGGTCACGCATTTATATGGTTATGCCGACTATGACAACAAGCGCACCATCTATAGAGGACCAGCTTGCGAGCATCACTAAGGCTCTTGAAGGGATGACCACCTCCCTTCAAAACAAAGAAAAGAGAATCAATGACTTAGCTGAAAAGGTCGAGTGCACGAGGAATGACAACACTAGCCGAGTTACTAGGAAACAACCTGAGGTTCAAGGAGAAGACATCTCTCACTCACCAACTTGTATTAGGCAAACTACGGTACACGAGGAATCAATTACGCGCATACCATTTTCGGATAGGAGCATTCCGGTCACCGGGGCCATGTACTGGTAAATCGACTTAAGGAGTTTAACATGGGAGCTGTGTCAAACGAAAAAATGGAGGAAACATCATCATCATATAATCATATACATATACCAAACCATACACAAAAAGGATAAAGGATTTGAATATGCCCATTAGCTATCAACCTCCCGCATTTCAACAATTCGATGGGAAAGGCAATGCAAGACACATCGCCTACTTTGTGGAAACATGCAATGACTTTGGGACATATGGAGATCTTCTTGTCAAGTAGTTCGTTCGCTCTTTGAAGGGAACTACTTTCAATTGGTACATCAACTTGGAGCCCGATTGCATTGATAGTTGGCATGATATGGAGCGTGAGTTCTTGACCCGCTTCAACAACACAAGAAGGACTATAAGCTTCTTAGAACTCACCATCACCTGACAAAGGAAGGGTGATCGTGCGGTTGCTTACATTGAAATATGGAGGGAGTTGTGCTGGAATTGCAAGGAAAGATATTATAGAGCTCCGCGATTGAAATGTGCAACTAAGGCATGCACTTCAAGCTCTCCTACATCCTCCATGGGCTCAAGCCTAAGACCTTTGTGGAATTATCAAATCGCGCCCACGATATAGAGTTAAGCATAGCAAATAATGGTGGACAAAACATACACATCCAAAGCTTCTACAATGGGGACAAGAGTCATGATGTTGAAAATGGGGGCAAACCCTTTAAGAAATATGAAAGCATGGATGCTATGCATGTGAATACCCAACCAACTAGGATATTCACTGAAGCTGGAAATGAGTTTAAGGATGATTCTAGGTTATCATGGGGTAGTAGAAGTCTTTCTTTAAGGGAAAGACAAAACAAATAGTATCCATTCTTAGATTCTCTAATGTCTCACATATGTTTGATGAGTTGTTAAAGCGCAATCTCGTTAATTTGCCAGAAATGAGGCGATCGCACGAGGCATCAAATGGTGGATGATTCGAGTTATTGCTAGTATCATAGACTTGTCGGACATCCAATTAAAAATTACTTTGTCTTTAAGGATAAAGTAATGAAGTTAGCTCGGGAGGGGGGAATTGAACCTGCACTACATGCCACAGCAAGAGCGAATCAAGTTTCCATCTTATGCGGTAAATCTATACTACTTTGCTACTCATTGAGAGGAACAATGTGAAGGGAAATGGGAAATGACACAAGTGTCTATTCCTTCTTAACATCAAGTCTTATGATACCAAACTCGAGTATGGTACTCAACTTGGTATTAAGCATGCTAAACAACATCACGTTTGTTATGCAACACGACCACCTAAGCAAGTTATGAAAATGTGGGTCAAGAAGAGGGTGTTAAAGGGCCCTATTGATGGGGAAGACTTGCAACCACCATATGAAATCACGAGTTCCAGTCACATTGGCGGATTACGTGTCGAAGTGGTTCCATACTCCCACTAACCAAGGAATGAAGATGAAAATTCTTCAAATCAACCCATACGATGGAGAAGAATGCACCTCATCATATTATACCACTATATGTGATGGAGCCAATATTCTTCAAGCTTCATCAATATGAATTGGAAACACATCATACTTAAGACTCCTTGGCACGAGCCAAAACTGCATCATATTCTTCAAGACTCCCAAGCACGAGGGGAAACTGCTCCATATCTTTCAAGGCTCCCCGACACGAGTTGAAGCTGCCTCCTATTCATTCAAGGCTCCTTGGCATGAGTCAAAACTGTCTCATATCCTTCAAGGCTCCTTAGCACGAGTCAAAACGGCCTCATATCCTACAAGGCTCCTTGGCATGAGTTGAAATGACTTTGCATTTTTAAGTACGATTGCCATGAAGTATGAGTTATAGTTTCGAGACTTCCTTACACTACATACTTTAAAGCAGTGTATGCTCTCAAGTGGCATGTCCAAGCAAGTCTCGGGGGGCAATTTGTAGACATGAAAATTTTGACAGAATTAAACTAGCCATTATATCGCATTTTAATTAAGTTATTCAAGTATGTACATCAATTAATTAAATTAATTTATGCTATATTATTTGTCAAATTAATTTAATTATTTGATAAAGATTTAGTCAAATTACATATTATTATTTAAGATATTATAGTTATATTATATTTGAATTTAATATTTATAATTAAATTCAAATATAATACAATCTTGAACCTAGACATTATTATGGCAGTATTCGTTTTGGATAAACTCTTAGTATTTAACCTAAATACTTAATTATTTATTGGATAAATATTGAGGGAGTTTGTTATGGGGTGGAAGTTACATTTTCACTACAAATAAACTAGTCATTTCATACCTTGAAGACATTGAAGACACTTGAAGAGTTCAGCTTAAGATCAAGCCGTTTGAAACCCGGAGGCCCTTCAATATAACTTTTGAAATGTTTAGTGAAGAATTAGAGGACACTACACAGTTTTGTACCCACATTTTAAATTATACACATCGTAGCGGTCAAAGTACCTATGAGGTCCCTGTATTATAGTATTTTGTTCAATTTAGTCCCTGTACTTTAAAAAGTGAAACAATTAAGGACAATAACTTATATTTATGTATTATTTTCGACATATTAATGTAATATATTGGTGGTAAAAATAATTAATTTTAAATATTTATAA